GATGGTCCAAGAAATATCAAATTTTAGAAGTAAAATAAGTCCTTAAATTGGCAATTCTGACACATGATTCTGTGAAGCATTGAATCTTGCTCAGAGGCAAATGTTCCATTATTTTAATACTACTCAAAAATGTTTGCTCAGTGTTTTCCAGTGTTTGTATTTGCTATAGGTTATAGTTCTTTGTAAGTATTTTAACAAGAGAAATGCAGAGAAGATGTGAATATTAAATATTGAATCATTATGTTGTATTACCTGAAATTAACATCATATTGTATGTTAATTATTTCAATTAAAAAAATTTTCAAAGATGTGAATATTGTCACAAATTTATTGTCTAAAATTTGAATTAGCAAAACAATATTGATTCCAATGGCAAAGTCAAAATCAGAGCAAGCAGACAAAATATTTTCACTGTTAAAAAAGAATACAAGCACACATATGTATAACTGAATCACTTTGCTGTACGGCAGAAATTAACACACGTTGTAAATCACCTATACTTCATTAAAATTTAAAAACTAGAAATATTCAATGCAAACAGTTGCTAGAAAATAAAAAAAGAAAACCTGTCTGTAAAAAAAAAAAAAAAAAAAAGAAAGAAAGATTATGAGCTTATGCAAAGCAACATGTACCCTAATGGCCCCACCTGAAGATGTTTTTGGATACATTCTTAACACTCAACCAACATCAAAGGAAACTTTTTCCTATGTCTGGAATATTAGTCACAAAACAAAGATCAACTAATACTTTGTGTATTTAAAATTTTGTTTTAAAAATCACTTTAAATACTAAATATTTGTGGTATGATTTTACAGTTTTAAAATTATTTTTATTTAACATTTATTTTGTGTTAATATTCCCTTATTTTAATGTTTTATATTATCAGATGTCTAGTATCATGTTAATTTTCTAATTTTGATAAATATTTTTGAGTTATGTAAGATATTAGGGTTAAGGGAACTCTACTATTTCTGCAACTTCTCTATAAATCCAAAATTATTTTAAAGTAAAAAGTAAAAAATAGGGACTTCCCTGGTGGCGCAGTGGTTAAGAATTCGCCTGCCAATGCAGGGGACACGGGTTCGAGCCCTGGGCAGGGAAGATCCCATGTGCCACAGAGCAACTAAGCCTGTGCGCCACAACTACTGAGGCTGCGCTCTGGAGCCCACGAGCCACAACTACTGAAGCCTGCAGCGCCTAGAGCCCATGCTCTGCAACAAGAGAAGCCACTGCAATGAGAAGCCCGCGCACCGCAACGAAGAGTAGCCCCTGCTTGCTGCAACTATAGAAAGCCCTTGCGCAGCAACGAAGACCCAACGCAGCCAAAAATAAATAAATAAAATTTAAAAAAAAAAGTAAAAAATATTTCAAAGTTAATTATCAGGTAGAGAATTTTACATGTCATTAAAATATATAATCTCATAATATTTTGGTTCATAATAATAAAAACTTATGCATTTATTTCATATATATGTGTATATATACATAAAATCTCTGACACTTTTAGTATAATCCTAACACAGGAAAATTGTTCACTGTTGATTATTACAGTCATTACTGTTATTACTTAAGAACAGGTAAATAAAAGTTTTTTTTAAAATGCAGAATAATTTATAATTTCAGGAATTCCAATTTCTTGTTCCTGAATCTCAAAGATTACTATCCTTCAGGAATTGGGAAACATTAGCTGACCAGAAGCAGCTGACAGAAAGAAGTGCAAATCCTCTCTGGAGACAGGTGTCTTCATCTCCGGTCTTAATGTTTTCCAAATACTATGACTAGCACACAGTAAAAAGTAACCAGACACACAAGGAGTCTAGACCACATGAATAAGAACCATGTGACACCAAAAACAGTCCCACTAAGACTAAATATCTTGGAATTATCATATGCAGACTATAAAATAACTATTCTTACCATAGGTAAAGAAAATAAAAAACAAGCTGAAAGATACCTACAGGAAATAGAAAACTATAAAAGGTAACATATCAGATTTGAAAAAAAAATACAGCTTCTAGGAAATGAGTCCTCATGATGTAATAATTCCAGAGTTTTAAGGAGCAATATGAAGAACAGTATAAAGGCTATATATATTTAAGTGTGAGCTATATGTAAATCTATATACCATCCTATACTTAAATTGAATCCATTCAATGTATTCCCTGTTGATCTAACTAGATTCACACTTATATGCATAAGGTGGAGCTGAATGTAAACCAAACCGTCACGTGTATCCTGCTCTAAAACCACCAAGCACAAACCAGAGCCCTCAGTTGACTACAGTTCAAATAAATAAAGGCATACCCTTTCTTCTTATACTTAAGTCTTGCAATTAGAAGTGCTTCTTAATTATATTTCTTCTAATTTCTCAAACCCCTATTAAATGCCTACCACATGATAAGCATAGCTAGGCATTTGTCCATACATTTTCTTATTTAAAAAAAGAAGAAGAAAAAAAAGAAGAGGAAGGAGGAGCAATAGCTACAATAAAGAACCTAATTTTGGGTCTGGCACAGCACTGGACTATTTTGCTACCATTGACTGTGTCTGACAAGGGGACCAGCATCTCAGTACTGACAGTCCTTAGCTCTCCAGTAGTCCAAGTTCAAAGTAACAATGGAGGAAGGAGATCTTTGAAAGTTCTGGAAGGTAGAGCAGAAACTTCAACTTCATTCAGTTAAACTAAATTCACCAAGTATTTACTGAGTCTACTACCTGTTGGATACTATACCAGGTGTGTGGGAAATGACAAACCAACTAATGTACAGTATCTGTCTTTTCATTAGGCTTAAAATTTTCATTGAGAGGCATATAAACAACTAAATATAATGTCAATCAGGATTAGATAAATACTGTATCAAAGTTCTTTAAATCTTATGCCTTAAATTTCAAGGTTAGAGATTGTATGGGACTGGATTGGAGGGGTAAAGCCTGGTGCTCAAACTGATTAATTCTGCCTCTTTCAAGGGACTTCTTGTATTGCTGGATATACTTTTTATGAAGACAGAAAAAGATGACCTTAAGAGGAACTGTCAGTGATTGCAAGAAATAAGTAATTTCATCATACTAGCAATTGATACAAATAATACACCTATTGAAAAGCAATCAAGTCAATATTAATACAGCCAATGCTGTATTTGGTGAATGCAAATAAAGGACAGTTTCCTGATTAAGACTATACACACCTACTGCAGGTCTTTCACAGCATTAAACTTTTAGAACTTAAAAAAAAAAAAACATAGTAAGAACACAAGCTGAATTATTAGTCCTGAAAAAGAAGGTCAATTGAACAAAAAAGAATACCAATTTCATCCCTCAGTACCAGTCCATTACCCCACATAGTCCTTTAAAAACACTGCACACTGTTTTTATGCATAGAAGACATAATATTTCTCTGGAACACTACTAATTCTAATAAGTATCATTATTGAGAAATTTTTGCTACCTGGAATTTGGGAGAGTTTTGTTCTCTGTCACCTGTATATCTAATGCAAGAACAGTTTACAAGTATATCTCAAAACTTGTATGTATGGAAGGTGATGGAGAATCTGGGGCTTGCTATGGCTTTGAGGATGTAGCGCTGAGCCAAAGTTCCCTCAGGATTCCTTTTCAGGCACTCTGAAATCGTCAAGGTATCTGGCATTCCCCAAGAGTTCAGATACTCATATTAAATGAACACCCTCTTGAGGACATGTCTAGGTGCTCACCCTCGTGCTTTACCTTGAGAGCAAATGTCACCACTGCCCTGCTGAGCACAAATGACCCAGGGGCCCAGTGATCTGGCTGGTCCCTAATTCATCACCCTGCATGTGCTCCAGGACACCCTCCCGGGCCATGCCTCTGAGTTTGGAGTTCCCGCAGAACTGTGCCCACTTGCACAGCAATTCTTGCCTGAGCATATTTTAGACAGAGGTTTCCTCTCTTTCTGTAATCCGTCTGCTTTCCAACTTTCAGAAAATTACTCGACTTCTGGCCTTCTGATAATACTCTTTCTTCTTGGAATTTTTTATTATTATTTTTCCATTCACTTTTAGAGATCTAAAGGACAAGGGGAAGTTGGTATGTGTACTTGGTCTGCCATCTTGATTTAGTCTCTCTGGGCCACCATTACCTTGTTTTTATTTATTAGGATCCTGCAACTCCTAGACCCACAGAGTGCTTTTTATTATTGACTTTCCTAAGGACGTGTAGGTTCAGAGCTCTCTGGCACACATGCCAAAGGGCATGCAGTCATGCTCTCCTCAGGCCCTAGACCAGTTGCTATTATCTCACTCTTTTCTTCTTCCTACTTTATAAATTTTTTCTCTTGATAGGCTGGTGAATACAAATGAAGTCTCCAGAGCCTGGTCACCCCCAAGTTAAGAGACAGCATTTCAATTTTTGAATGTGCAAGGTGGGAAACAGTAAACCATAGTAGTTAAAGACATGGGCTCGATTCCCGGTTCCCTTAGCAAGCTACTTAATCTTTGCAAGTCTTGGTTTCCTCATCTATAAAGTAGCCATATGAATTAACCCAGTACCTTCAAGGTAGCTGTGAAGATTCTTTGTGACAAATGCTTATTAATACATTAATAAATGTTTGTTATTATTATTGAAACTTAGTCCCTGGACCACAAAGATACAACATACTGTTTTCTCATGAGTCTTAGCCTGGAAGTCTTCAGTCCTGAGCAGAGTCTGGTTAAAGAAAGTTATATCTGGGGACTTCCATCTGCACAACTGTTATGGATGTCACAAAGGTATAGGAGGTATAAATGTCACTGAGGTCTGAGCTTTTTTACCTGAGCAGCAAATGGAGTTAGGAGGCTATAGTGGTCATAGGATACATTCAGACAGAGCCATCTAACTGTGGTGACAGAGTGAGAAATTAGGTAATAAAAAGCAAACCATTCCTTAACTGTCCATCATAGATGGTAACATATCCCTAAAAGCCTGGGTAGGCTGTTACTTGGACTTGTGGGTGTCAAGAAACAAGTATATACTATCTCCTCATCACTTACCTCTAAGCTGCTGGAGTTCCATGTTCAAACTCTCAATGTTACTTTCGTAGAACTCAAGATTCTCAGGGGTCTCTGCCCTTAGTGATTCCTCTTGCTTCTCCTCCAGCAGTAAGTTCAGCTCTTCTTGAGCCCTGCAGCACATATCCAAGTCCTGTTCCATCTCCTGAATCCTCACCAAGACTAAGGGACACTGGGAAGTCTGGTCCAAAGTTTTCTCCATGTTCTCAGGGCTCTCCTTTTCTAGGCTCTCCCAGCCAGGACGGTTACAGGTTAGGAGCTTGGGGGGTACTGCATTCGTTCTTTGCTGGGCCGAGGGAGGCAGGGGAGCGGGGCGAGAGGGTCGCATTGCCAAGGGTGGTTCCGGTCTCAGGCTCTGGTCCACTGGCAAATGGGGAGGAGTGGATGCTGGAGTACAGGGACGGGGTGGCGGTGGCCTTAGAGCCTTTCTCCTCTCAGGCAGCTCCTGCTGGATGATTAGCTTCGAGGAACCTCGGAAAATATCCTTTTCGGAGTTAAAGTCCATGATTGAAAAGTGGCGCAAAATTTTATCTGGTTCTGTGCCGGGCCCTGACAAGCTCTTCTCAAACTCTATCAGTTGTTGTGTCAACTTAGAATCCAGGTCCGTGTTGCCGTCTCCCTCTGAAAGTGCCACTGCTTCCACAGCAGGTGCCTTGTCTTGCAGACCAGGCTTCATCTCTGATCTCTCTGATGCAGAGCAAAAGCTGGAAGCATTTTCTTTGGGTGTGAGGTGCTTTTTCACACACCTCGCCATGCCCTGGAGCTGAGGGCTCAACTGGCTGGGTCTGACTGCCCTGGAGGCTAAACGGGAAAAGGTGCTATGAAGAGGTGGCACTGGCTTCTGAAGGGTTTTCGGCTGGGAGTATGTTCTTCTGGGAGGTAGGCTGGAGTAGTCTCTAGTCCTTGCTTCTAGAGGAAGAGGGTCAGAGTACTGGTTGGGGCTGGGGTTGCTTCCTCCTCCTATAGAATAATACTGGTTTTTCTGCAATTCGGGATGAAAAGGTACTGGAGTTTGGGACGTAACACCATTTACCACCTCTGAAGGATCATTTGTGGAAGAGTATTTGGTAAGAAGCTGTTCATGCCCTGAACCTGTGCTTCTTGGGGGCCCCTCTGAGGTGCCCACATCCCAGTGAGAGTTTTTGTCTTCTTCATACTCAGAAGTCAGATGCTCCAGTGGGGAAGTGGATGTTTCAGAAATAACTGAGTTGGACTTCTCTGCTTTATACTCATGAGATTCATGTCTTTTTCCTTCCACTTCTAAGAAGTCCTCTGAACAATCCAAAGATGTGTCAGGGATGTTGGTGAGGCTGCTTTCCTGTGGCAGATCCACGGTTTCCTCCACCCTTGTTTGAGGACATAACTTTACAAAGCGGTAAGGAAAGATGCCTGTCCTGCCCTTCAGTGATCCTTCTAGCCAGCCATCTTCCAGGGTCCCCAGGATTCGGATTTTATCGCCTACTTCGAAATCCAACTCATTTGGCTCCAGGGCTTGGAATCTGTAGAGGGCAATCCCGTAGGTGCCTGGCTGCTCGCCTTCCTCTTCTGGCTGTCTCTCTTCTCCTGTGTTGGTACCTACTTCACCGTTAGTAATGCAATCATCGCAATTTCCAGAACTTACGGACTCATCCACAGTCCTCAGGGGCCCCAAAAGCTCTACAAAACCTTCCGGAAAAATGCCTCTTCGACCCTCTAACTCCCCTTCAAACCAGCCTGGTTCAGGAACTCCAATAATGGTAATCACATCCCCTTCTCTGAAGTCCAGCTCCTCATCCAGCTGGGCAGAGAGCCCCATCAGTGCCCGGGCCTGTCCCATTGAATACTCGGGAATCTGGAGAAGGGCACTCTGTGAGTGCCACTGCCGACTCTGTGAGGAGAGGCAGAGCTCCCTAACACATGAGGATGGGAAGAAGCCCCGGGCACCCCAGCAGCTCCGGCCCTGCAGCCAGCCGGCAGTGGGAGTGCCATCGACAACCACTAGGTCACCTGAAGAAAGAGAAGAGAAGCAAAGATAATGACCTCGGTTATCACCTCAGCAGGATACTGGTATAACTAATAGTGCAACTCATCATCTTAAATAGCTACCAAATTCAAGGGAATATAAACCTAGAGTTTTAAGTGCATGAACACTTTTTGACAATTTAGTGACAATATAGTGAACATTCCTGTAAACCCATGGTTTTCAAAATGTGGTCTGCTGAACCCTGGGGGTGGATCCCTAAGATCCTTTCAGAGGGTCTGTGAGGTCAAAACTATCATATTTTCTTCATACACTTCATATACTTCAGTCAAGACAATGTAACGTGGCAAACTGAATATAGATTCAAGTAAAAGAATCTAGATTTCTTCTATTAAACCAAGTATTAAAGACATCTGCAGAAAATGCAAACCAATGTTACTCTTCTCACTAAATTTTTTTTGTTTAGGAAACTAGTTATTTTTCATAAACTGTTATTTATGTTATTAATGCTAATATGAGTTTTTAAAAATAAATTGATAATTTAAAAAATTTCTCAGCTTTAACAGCTAATATGGTAAATATCAATAGACTGACACAAGCAAGTGCTCTTTAGGGTCTCAAAAACTTCTAAGAATGTAAAGGCATCCTAAGATCAAAAAGTTAGAGAAATGCTACTACCAGCAATAGTCTGTACCACTGGATTCATTTATAAATGATGAAGAATATAGTCATGGCCACTATAGTCCTTTGAATAGATGGATCTAATTTCTCACACTAAATTATATTCAATATCAAAAATCGAACAAAGAAAGAATCTTCAGGAATGGGTTGGAAGTGTAGGGTGTGGACAACAAACTGTTCATTTATTTTCTCCAGAGCCCTTCTTTTTTTTTTTTAAACATCTTTATTGGAGTATAATTGCTTTACAATGGTGTGTTAGTTTCTGCTTTATAACAAAGTGAATTAGTTATACATATACATATATCCCCATATCTCTTCCCTCTTGCCTCTCCCTCCCTCCCACCCTCCCTATCCTACCCCTCTAGGTGGTCACAAAGCACCAAGCTGATCTCCTTGTGCTATGCGGCCGCTTCCCACTAGCTCAGTTTTACATTTGGTAGTGTATATATGCCCATGCCACTCTCTCACTTTGTTAGAGCCCTTCTTGAACTATCCTTATCCTGAAAATACATCATAATGAAATCTTAGAAGAACGTTCTAGTAATCGGCAGTTTGTTTTTGAAAATAACCAGTAGTTCCAATATTGCTGTTTCAGGCTATCTTCACAAAATATAAGCTAAACAGTTAGCATCTGCCTTATTATTGAAGAAGGTGAGGAAAGGATTTGCCCCAGTTAAAAAATTACCCTATAGTTTTGCAGCAAACTGTTTTGCAGCAAACTTTTAATTATCTGATTATGAACTATTCATTTTGTAGATCATCAGTTTTAACTTTTTTAACTAGCTCCACGCTTCTAACTTCCTTTCGTCCTCTAATTTCTTCTCTCAAAATATTTATTCCATTCGTCACTTACTCTTTGCTACCTCATCCAACTCCCATCATATCTCACTCTTAAACCTCGCCCCAGACACTGTCTCTTCCAGTCTACCAAATCATTCATGCCAAACTAAGATTACAAATGTACCCATTTTATCATATCCCTCCCCTGCTCAAAAGTTTACCATGAGGCATGAAGGCTTCTTCCTACCGCTTAAGGCTTCTACTCTAATAATTCTATTATTACTACGGGAAATATATTTTAAAAAATAAGTTTGCTGTGGACACTCTCCAAAGAGGTTTAGTTAACTAAGCTACCAAAAGGCTACTCTTATGTTTTCACCTCAGTGCAAACTGGTATTCACATCCAGTCACAACCACCCCTTGCCCCATCCCCAGCTATCCAATATTATCTCACCTCTGAGACCCTATTCCACACAAGGGGACTTTCATTGTCTCCTATAGAAGCCTCTCCATCTGAAACCTTAGCATGCTTCCCTGAGAAACCTTAGAAGCCTACACACATCTTGGCCATCTGTAGCCTACTAAAGAAATGATCACTTATATCAACAATTTTGACACTTGTATTTTTATATACTACACAGCTTCTAATGTAAGATTTTGCATTTACTGGTAGGCACCCAATACATTTTCACTGATTTCATGCTGTTTTGCTTAGATGTCCCTGAAAATAGGGTCTTGGTCCTATATTTCTATTTTCCTTTAATTCCTGATTCAATATCCATTGGTCAGAGCTTGGGGTCCTGAGAATTACAAGTGACTTTTTCCCCCACTAGTTCTAAGGCCATTCCATCAGGACCACAGAGGGAATTCACTGGAGACATGGCTACTGTTCAGACACAGTAGGTCTTTTGGTGATTAAGAATAAAAGTGTGGGCTTCCCTGGTGGCACAGTGGTTAAGAATTTGCCTGCCAGTGCAGCAGACATGGGTTTGAGCCCTGGTCTGGGAATATCCCACATACCGCAGAGCAACTAAGCCCATGTGCCACAACTACTGAGCCTATGCTCTAAAGCCCACGTGACACAACTACTGAGCCCGCGTGATACAACTACTGAAGCCCACGCGCCTAGAGCCCGTGTTCCACAACAAGAGAAGCCACCGCAATGAGAAGCCCGCATACCACAACAAAGAGTAGCCCCCACTTGCCAAAACTAGAGGAAGCCAGCGTGCAGCAACGAAGACCCAACGCAGCCAAAAATTAAAAAAAAAAAAAAGAATAAAAGCGTGCCAAAACTCCCACTCTCCTGGCTTTGAAATGAACTGGCTTTCTTTCCTTCCTTCTGTCCTTCTTTCCTTCCTTCCTTCCCTCCTCCCTCCCTCCCTTCCCTCCTTTCGGCTGTATTGGGTCTTCGTTGTTGCGCGCGGGCTTTCTCTAGTTGCGGCGAGCAGGGGCTACTCTTCGTTGCAGTGTGCGGGCTTCTCATTGCGGTGGTTTCTCTTGTTGTGGAGCACGGGCTCTAGGCATGCAGGCTTGGTAGCTGTGGCTCGCGGGCTCCAGAGTGCAGGCTCAGCAGTTGTGGCACACACGCTTAGTTGCTCCACGGCATGTGGGATCTTCCCAGACCAGAGATCGAACCCTTGTCCCCTGCATTGGCAGGCGGAGTCTTAACCACTGTGCCACCAGGGAGGTCCCTGAACTGGCTTTTTGCTTGTTCGTTTGTTTTGTTTTGGTTTTGGTTTTTTTTGCGGTACATGGGCCTCTCACTGCCGTGGCCTCTCCCGTTGCGGAGCACAGGCTCTGGATGTGCAGGCTCAGCGGCCATGGCCCATTGGCCCAGCCGCTCTACGGCATGTGGGATCCTCCTGGACCGGGGCACGAACCCGCGTCCCCTGCATCGGCAGGCAGACTGCCAACCACTGCGCCACCAGGGAAGCCCTGAACTGGCTTTTTTAAACCTGCAGAATTAGAATATTTTCTTGTTTTACCAAATCTTCATGAAACCCTTATAACAGGGTTTGCTTTCCTATTTTCAGTTGTTTTTTTCAGACTGTTTTTTCCCTTTCCTTCTTTCTTTTTTTTTCTTTTGGCCATGCGGCACAACTTAGTTCCCTGACCAGGAATCAAACCCATGTCCCCTGCACTGGAAGCACAGAGTCTTAACCACTGGACTGCCAGGGAAGTCCGAAAACAATGTTGTTTGTTTTTATTTTGGCCGTGCCATGCGGCTTGCAGGATCTCAGTTCCTCAACCAGGGATCGAACCAGATCCATGGCAATGAAAGGCTGGAACCCTAACCACTAGGCCACCAGGGAACTCCCTGGGTGACTGTTTTGATAAGCTTTATTACCTGGCAGATTGTCATTCTGTTGATTATTTCTATATAATAAAGGTTTTGTTTGTTTTTTTTAAGTCACGATTTAGGCCCTGAAAAGCACTTTAGAGATAATTTTGGTGAACACTTTTATTTTACAGCCTGCCCTGTTACTGAGTTTTTTGCATTCCTATGCCTTAGGAATAGAGGCTGCTTAGTGATCATTTCTAAATTTCAAAAACAACAATAAGAGGAACTCCTGGAATAGAGTGAACAAAAAAATAGGAAGTGGGGTGACTCTTAGGGTCAGCCTGAGCCTTTTGCTTATGCACGATTAATCCCAGCCACCACACTGCTTGTTTCTTCTGGTTAGATTTTTTTATTCGAAATGCATTAAGAATAAGATGATAAGAAAGAATGAATGTCCTAGAATCTGAATATAAGTAGTTTGACCCTGCAGTATAAAGTCCCTCACTGAAATCTACTGCCCAGGGACTCTGTACTCTATGCAGACCTACCACTCTTTACCTGGGTTTCCACACGAGCCATATCAGAACCTTAATCCTGATATCTCACACACATGGCACCACAGATTTATGACACAAGTGCTTTAACTGATAATTATCATTTATCTATCTATTTATTTGTAAATAAGTTTATCAATTTAATTTTCATTGGTCTTTTCTGGGGGTTGAGAGGTGGCCTAGAAGCATGAGCTTATAGGCAAGGGATAAGCATTCTGTGTTGTGTCAGGCAATTAAATATTTCATTGCTCTAATTTTTTTTCTCTCCTCTTTCTCTGTCTTTTCCTTGTTGTTTTGTTTTTGTTTTTTGTTTTTTCTCTCTTTTTCCCCCTCTTTATTTTCTAGGACAGCACCTACATTGATCTAAGAGACAAACTTGTTTCTGAATTTAAATATAACTCAAATACAGGGAACAGACCAAAACAAATGGAAAGCTTCGGGAAAAGGAGAAAGGGTGACACCTGCTGGAAGAACCACTGGTGGTCTGGATTCGAAATAGAATCTCCCAGGGAAAATGTACATACACACAAAACTTCACATAATTATCAGGAAATAAGGTCCCCCGAAGCACATCCATGATCCCCAAGAATCCCAGGTTGAGAATAATAAAATAGGTAATCTTTATTGGGTGCTTACCCTCTGCCAGATGCGTTACATGTATAACCTCATTTAATCCTCACAACTACCCTGATGTACGTATTATTATTTGCAGACAAGGAAACTGAGGCCAAAAGAACTTAAGTAATTAGTACAGAATCACAGTTATTGAGTTGTGAAATTGGATTTAAATCTAGGGCCATCAGAATTCTTATCCCCTAAACTATACTGCCTGCCCTAAATACATATATATTTTTAATAATATAATTTTATAGTTAAAATATATAATTTTTTCTCTTATAACTCTCGATATTTCTGAAAGATAATAACAACTAAAGGCAGCATGGTAAAACAAAACAGATCTCAAACATTATCCCACGTGCTCTTAAAGGTTTCCAAATCCCTCCTGACATATATTAAATCAGAAGAGGAGAAGCTTCACTGCTACACTGAAGGACCAAAGGAAAGGCAAAGAAACAACAGGGAACTGGATTAATAGTACTAGAGGACAGGGATAAAGGAATGTATATACTCATGAGCGGAGACACTGATCTAATGGAAAAAGCAGAAGGGCCATTTTCAGTCTAAGAAGTAGAAGGGCCATTCCAAGCAGTAGACTTAGATTCAAGTCATAAACTGTATATAGTATAAAACAATACTTTCATTTTTTTTAGTGATTTTGTTTCTAACTAGTAAAATATGTTATATATATAGAAAACAAGAGGAATTAAAATCATTTCTGTGTCTCAAGCTAAACTTCCCAGAAAAAGACAAATTGTATAGATACACCTACTTTCCCCATCCTCAGAGGCTATTATGTTCAAATCGGAAGACATACAGAGCTAAAATACGTGAACAGCATAGAAGGAAAGAGAGCTGAATAGTCAATGTGTTTACTGGCAGCACAGTATCACAGAAGACAAAACCACTAATAATTAGTACATCTCTTTCTATTCTCTCTTTTCCTATGTATCCCCCCTTGCCCTGCATCCTCTTCTTTTGAGCTCTGCTTATGTTTTTCAGCTCCACAGCCTTAACTTGTTAAAAGATAGTCAAGATAAGATCTACAGACTCCAGGACCCAGCCTGACCTTGAGTCAGTCTTGGTAGAGGTGACTTGTGGCTGAAAGGTCCACACCAGGGTTTTCCTGAGAATCTCAGGTGGCTCTGGGATTCCTGAGGTGGATTTTAACTTCAAATCAAGTTCAGAACATATCAGTCCAGTCTTCCCAGGAGAGGCATTCAGCAGAAAATCTGTTTAGTACCTAAGACTTGACTATGCAAGATATATTATGAAGCAAAAAAACTAATTCCAGAAGCCACTTCCTCAAATTCCTCAAATGTTGCAGACATACTGTATATTCCCACATAGTACATTGTTATACACAGTATTTGCTCCAGGAACCAGGTGTAGGAAAAAACAATGCCAGGCCACCCACATCCTCTGCACAGCTCTGGTGGAAGCCACTGTGCCTTTGCTTCCACCAGACCCTCTGAATGGTCTGATGTGGACTCAGCCCTCCTATGGGAGAGCTGTGAGTAGGGACAGATGAGGCTCCCTCCTATAACATCTTCATCTATTTCTGTCTGTCTTCCCAACGCGGATTAGCAAAAAAGCACACAGAACAGAGGTAGAGGCTTAGTGTAAAGTGAAGGCAAGAAACTCTGAAAGCTGATTTTGAGGATTAAGGTCAAAGCCCAATATTCCTTCCTTCTCACTGACTAAGGGTTAGGGACTTTGCTAGGTCTCTCTCCCCACCTCTGCACTCTCTCTGCCATATGTGTACACAGTTTAAGAAATTAAGCCTATCCCTTTAGTGCCATAGTCAAAAGAGTAAGTAACAACAGTAATAACATACCTAATAAATTATACAATTTTGATGACTGTTGTGAGTCATCATAAAATTGCACTGATCATAAGCTTCAGTTTGTCGAACACTACTGGCTTCTGTGCTTATGCAGAAGTGTATGGACTTAATCAAGTACATGTGCCGAAACGGTCTAGTCACTCTTTAGACGTTCGTATGTCTATCAGAGTGTAAGAAGTGAGAAATACTTGGAATATCACTGAGACATGGCTATGACCATCCGTTTTAAACCACTTCCCTTTAAACTGGTTCTGATGAGAGCTTTAATAATATTACCTAATAGTTAAATAGTAATGGGGCTGTTTTGCATCTCTCTCTTATTTTGCATACCATAATTCCTGCTCTACTATTATGCATTAATAAATAGTATGTTGTTAGCAAAGTCATATCAATTTTTACGGGAAAAAAAGATAACTGTAGTCTGAAGTGTAGCTACAACCTGGGGCAGTAGAAAGAGAATACTGGACTTACAAATAATCAGGTGATGTAACTTCACATTCTGAGGCCAAAACTTCTCAACTGCAGGTAACATTCTTTGAATCTCATTCGCATTATTATTATCATTTTTTTTAATGGTAAGTGGAGGAAGTCACTTGCATTATTTTTTAAATGCAGTTAATAATACCCACTTTGCTACCTGCCAGGTCTGTGCTGAGAATGAAATGAGAATGTATTTGTGAGAAAAAATGCTGTGGAAATTATGAAATGCTACTCAAATATAAGGCATTATTATTGTCAGCACTATCTTGGTATTATTGAAGACTCTCTAGAGGTTAGTCACATAAAAATTCAAAAAAAAAGATCTAGTTGTCAAAATGGACTGACTCCACCAATCTTATTTTAAACAGTCTACTCTTGGATGATCAACTTACCTCGATGGAGGGAAAGGCTGTTCAATTCTAGGGATGTAAATTCACAGATACAGACAAACAGTCTCTCGCCCTCTTTTAGACTGGGAATGGTAACAACTTCCACAAAACTGCTGGGGAACTGTCCTGAAAATAAAAGCAAACATTTCCAATATTAAAATTCCTTTTTTCTGTCTGTGTACCAGGACAAAAAACTTTTTTCTGAGCCCATTTATAAACCCTGAATTGAAAACTCACTGAGTACTCATCACTGGAGAATATAGTATAGAAAACATGCAGTGCACAAAATTAGGTGCATGCAGAACACAGAGGGTGCAATTCAATTCAATGAGCATTTACTGGGTGTCACTCTACCAAAGGCACACTGCAGAGGGGAAAATGAGTAAGACAGTCTTGGCCCTGAAAGATCTTAAAATTTGATTCAGACATAAAATCTAATTCAGACATAAACAATAATTCAGTTTGAAATCCAGTGTCACATCCTAGGTACACAAATTGCTATGGAAGTTCAGAGAAGGTAGGAAATGGGTCAGGAAGAAAATGAAAAATTTTATGAAAAAGACTACAGTTGAATCTGAAGACTGGCAGGGTTTTAACAAGTAATAATAGACAAACAGGGCCTGTCAGTTGGAACACATTGGAAAGTTTAGTTGATTCCACCTTCTAACTATCTCTTGCATCTGTCCACTTATCTCCAGATTCACCACCTCGGTCCAAGCCATCAGCACCTCTCACCTGGATTACTGCATCCACTTCCCATCCCACCTCCCTGTCTTTGGCTTTGCCCTTTCCTACCATTCTTCAATCTGCAGCATCAAGCCTTCTAAAAGACAAATCTGATTGTGCTTAAAGCACGTTTACAGTATCCTGTTTCCACAACTCCTTTCCATGGCATGCGCTGTCCTCCATGATCTAGCTTCCGCTCATCTCCCCATGCCATCTCCCCCCGCTCAACCATTCACACTCCATATGCCAGACTGAACTTTCTCAGTCCTTCCATGTTCTTTCTCTCTCATTCCAGGGCCTCTGAATAAGCAATTCTCTCTGCCTACCCTCTTTGCCTTGCTAACTCCTACTCACCATTTTTATCTCAGCTGAGATGTCACTTCTACTGGGAAATAATCTATCATCTCCCAAATGTGGCTTAAGTAACAATAAGAGTCTGTTCTAAGGATTGTATGATATACTCCAGCCCAGACTTCCATAAATATATATAAGTTAAAGATTGGATTTAACATAGATGCATAGTGTGGGGGAAAAACTTCCAGCCTTCCCTTGGCAAATTCATAAAAGAAACTGGTGCTAACATGTTTTCAAGAATAGAAAAAAGGAAACCAGGTGCATGGAAAGTGGAAGTTAAGTGCATCTAGGGTAGAGGGCAGATTTAATAAATTTAGGACACCCACGAATCTAGGAGGGCAGCTGGTACCTAACCATGTCAACCTTTTAAAGGAACCAGTAAGGAGAGATGCAGTGATAACAGACATTCTCTCCTTGCTGGTAGAAACCACAGTAAACACACACACAGAAAACACAAAAGGATCTGAAGTGTATTTATTGGGCTTCCCCTTAAACCTTTATTTTTAATATGGAAAGAAGGGAGGGTCTGTGGTCTATTTTGTACGTGAGGAATTATGAACCTCTTACCTGTCACATCCTCTTTCTTTCCTAGAAGCCAAAATTCATCCACCACTGCCAACACCTCAATAACATCTCCCACAAAGAGCGGCAGTTCTTCTGATACGCTAGGGCAGAAGTCAAAGATGGCTCGAACCACTGAGCCAGCCTCCATCTTTTATAACCTGGAAAGAAAGGTCAATAGAAATGGGAAAGCATAAGTATTTAAGACACTGTAATATAGATTGGTATCTTGAGAATTATCATTAAGATATAAAGTATCTTATTAATAATAAATTATTACTAAGATATAAAGTATATATAAGACTACTTATAATGAAGTCAAAGCTAAGCAAATAAGAAGTTTGTACTTTTAAAAAATCAAAATACTGTCTCATTTCTTTAAAAACAATAATTTCCTCATATGTTTTCATTTAATTCTCCAAGTCATTCTGGAATTGAAAAAAAAAAGTGACTTATAGCTATGTGGAATAGAAAACATGCAACTTGGAAATGCAGACTTTCCAATATGCTTGAAGAAGGCAATATGGGAATTAACATTTTTAAGGTACCAGGCAAGAGGGTACTCTTAAAATATGGTATTTAAAAAGTAGGGATTTTAAATATGGCATTTCATCTATTCGCCATAACTATCTTTTTTGCTTATCTTTTTCCCTTTGTATTTCCACATGTATTTATTTTATTTTTTCTTCAAGTTTTATTGAGATATAATTGGCATACAGCTCTGCATAAGTTTAAGGTACAAAGCATAATGATTTGACTTACATACAACATGAAGTGATGATCACAATAAGTGTAGTGAATGTCCATCATCTCATACAGATACAAAATGAAAGAAAAAGAAAAAAATGTATTTTTCCTTATGAGGATGGCTCTTAGGATTTACTCTCTTAACAACTTTCATACATAACATATAGCTGTGTTATATTGATCGTGTTGTACATGATATCCCTAGTACTTATTTACCTTATAACTGGGAGTTTATACCTTTTGACTGTCTTTGACCAATTCCCACCCCTCCGCCCGCCCAGCCTCTGGTCCCCACAAATCTGATCTTTTTTTCCATGAGTTTATTTTTGAAGTACAGTTGACCTACAACACTGTCAGTTCCTGTTACACAACTTAGCGATTCAATATTTCTATGCATTTCAAAATGATCACCACGATAAGTCTAGTCATACGTCACCATACAAAGATATTAGTTATTAACTATATCCCCCACGCTATACCATGACTCAGTTATTTTACAACTGGAGGTTACTTCTTAAACTCTCTCACCTATTTCTTTCCTCCCCTCACCCCCCTTCCTTCTGGAAACCACCTGTTTGTTCTTTGAATCTATGACTTTTTTTGTTTTATGTTTGTTCATTTGTTTTTTAGATTCCACATATAAGTGAAAACATACAGTATTTGTCTTTCTCTGACTTATTCATTTAGCAGAACACCCTCTAGGTCCATCCATGTTATTGAAAATGACAAGATTCCATTCTTTTTTATGAATAATATTCCATTGGCATGGAATATTCCATTCCATCTTCTTCATCCATTCATCTATTAATGGGCACTAAGCTTGCTTCCATAGCTTTTGTAAATAGTGCTGCAATGAACACAGGCGTACATATATCTTTCTGAATTAGCTTTCTTCAGATAAATACCCAGGAGTGGAATTGCTGGATCATACAGTAGTCTGATTTTTAATTTTTTGAGGAAACTCCATACTGTTTTCCATAGTGTTTGTACCAATTTACATTCCCACCAACACTGCATAAGGTTTCCCTTTTCTCCACATCCTCGCCCACACTTGTTATTTATTATCTTTTAACAGCCAATCTGACAGGTATGAGACGACATCTCATTGTAGTTTTTCTTTGCATTTCCTTCATGTGCCTGTTGGCCACCTGTATGCCTTCTTTGGAAAAATGTCTAGATCCTCTGCCTGTTTTTTAATTGGGTTGCTTGTTTTTTTTGATGTTGAGTTGGATGTATCATTTGCAAATATCTTCTCCCATTCAGTACGTGGCGTTTTCGTTTTGCTGATAGTTTCCTTTGCTGTACAAAAGCTTTTTTTTAATATAAATTTATTTTATTTTTGGCTGCATTGGGTCTTGTTGCTGTGCGTGGGCTTTCTCTAGTTGTGGCGAGTGGAGGCTGCTCTTTGCTGCAGTGCACGGGCTTCTCATTGCAGTGGCTTCTCTTGTTGCAGAGCATGGGCTCTAGGTGTGCGGGCTTCAGTAGCTGTGGCACACAGGCTCAGTAGTTGTGGCTCGTGGGCTCTAGAGCGCAGGCTCAGTCGTTGTGGCGCATAGGCTTAGTTGCTCCACGGCATGTAGGATCCTCCTGGACCAGGGCTCGAACCCGTGTCCCCTGCATTGGCAGATGGACTCTCAACCACTGGGGGAAGTGACTGAGAGCTTTTTAATTTGGTGTAGTCCCTCCCCACAGCTATCTTAAAGATGAGGGTACTGAGGCTCAGCAAGTTAGAAAATTTGTTCAAGATCACAGAGCTTACAGCAGCAGGGCCAGGATTCAGACTGAGTGCATTCCGGCCTCTACCTACTGAGACTGTGCCTGTAAAAAAACCAATTTGACCTGAAGAACAGCAGCAGGACCATACCTCAGTGGCCCAGATTTAAAATGCATTGAAAAAGACAAATCCATAAGAAGAATAAGAAAGGGCTATGTAGATGGCGCCTCCAGACAAGCTTTAGTACACTATACCAGATCAAGAATGTGTTTTCGGTTCAAGGACGCCTACGGCCCAAACTTGCATACTATCTTATGGTGTCTGTGCTGTAATAAGACAATGTGTCTGTTACTTTGTGTCAAGGGAGCCTAAGGACATGTTAAGCAATAGAAAGGGAGGCAATAAATAGAGGGCATATGCCATCAGCCATGATTACCTTCAGCCATGATTACCTTACACTTCTCCAAGGTCTTCTGCAAGGAGTGGCAGAAGATCTCCAGAGTGTCCAGGCCCCAAGCCTGTTTTTCTTTATTTGCCTCAAGTATCATTTGGTGTTGGCAGAGATGAGGATTCTAACTTTCATCTCACATATAACAATAAACAACATCAAAAAGCACTAAGTGCCTAATTACAAAAAAGGATAGTTATAGCTCTAAGTCTACAGTCTACAAATGATGTGGACATTTAGGCACATAAGAAACTGTTCAGTCTGTTAATGTGAAGGGCCTATAAGATTTTAATGGCACATGCAACACACATATTACATATTTAATTTGAACTGTTGAGTAAAAAGAGCTTATCTTTGAGTTACTGAAACTTTTTTTCCTATAATGAGATGACTTGGGTACACAATGGAGAAGAGAAGTAGCTAGTACCATTCCCCACATCCTCTCCCACCACATATTTTCTTTAAGTATTAAAAAAATATAGAATTAAAATCACACACTGAGGAGGCAGCATAATGTGAATGCAAAGCACGAGGCTCCTTGAGTCAGAGAAATCAAGGTTCAAATCCCAGCTCCACTAGTTATTAGCTTTTTCACCTTGGATATATTACTTAAACTCTTTGGGCTTCAGCTTCCTTTTTCAGAAAAATGGAGATAATCATACTTTCAAAATAATCATCAAGAGGATGATAATGATAAAAATAATTATACTAATGCCTAACATTTATTGAGCACTTACTATGTGCCATGCATTGTACTATGAATTCCCTCATTGAGTTCTCACAACAACCTTATTGTATATAATTGATTCCCATTTTGCTAGTGAGGATACAAGGTCAGAGAGCCTATATAACCTGTCCAGGTCACAAAGTCAGTCAGACATGGAATAGGAACCCAGATCTGCCTGTCTCCAAAGCCTTAACCAGTATGCTAATAGTGTGAAAGGACCTAAGCCAGCACCTAGGTGCTCAATAAATGTTAGCAGTTATTACTAAACATCATTCCCATAATCAGCTACAAGGTCAAATGTGTGCCACCAATACAGCATCACCAGAATGTGATATTTCAAGTATATAAACTCTACAGAATTTACCATTTCAACACGTCAAAACGTGGTTAACTTTGACCATGTTTTAAAATAGGCACATTACATACACCCTTGCCTTCTTCAGTAGAAGAAAAGACACTGAACATGAACTTAGTAAGTTCATTATTAAGACCATACCTTGCTGTACCCTGCTGTAATAGAAAATACCAGTACTATGTAACTTTTAGGCCTTTCTCTTTTAATGTCAGCTTTCCCTTTGCTATCACTTTATTTCCTCTGTCAACTTTTCTACCTCTTTCTAGATTGTTGTTTATAATCTGTTAGGGGGTGGGAGGACCACACACACCCCACCAAAATTATTTAAAGTTTCCAGATAAATAAAAAGTAAACATGCGCCAAATGAGAGGCTAACAAACTCTTCTGCAGTGGTAAAGTACATGTGGTAGTGCTAGAGTCCTTCAACAGTTATTTTTTGTGTGCTCTGAGGCCCCTTTCTTATTTTCTGGCTGTCTTCCAGACAGCTGAAGTTGCCAGATGTCAAATTTCCACATAAGGGTGGTGCCATAAATATTTGTTCCCTAAAACAAACAATATTTTTCAAAACCCTTAGCCATCTATAAGTTATTAAAACAATTCCTCAAGGTTGAGCCAGGTAGATATTATTTTTCTTCTACTACTATATTTTCTCAAATTCCATCTCACTGTCAGACTAAATATATACCTCATTATCTAAAGTATCAAGTAAAGAATTAGCATATGCCCCACAGGATAACTTAGAGACCTACCCTGTTACATGGAGGAGTAACCTTTGTTATTTGAAAGAGTTAAAGCTTCTCCCTGAGAACCTTCCTGCTTTACCAGAATATGACTCAGAAGCAGAGGAGGGTCTGGCTCAATAAATACTTTTACTGACTGACCTCCCACCCTATTGGAAGGAGTGTGTAATCACTGAGGAATACACACCCTGGAAGGGTGATGAAATCAGAGCCTGGCTAAACTACATGATTTGTGGGTGAGACCAGAGAGGAGATCTTTATGTCCTCTGTTTTATGTGGAATATCATGAATTTCATCTGTCTTCCCTGTATACACTATAAAAAGCAACAATTATTGTTTTTGTCTGGGCCATTTTAGAAGCTGGGACTGGGAATTCCCTGGCAGTCCAGTGGTTAGGAGTCAGTGCTTTCACTGCCATGACCCGGGTTCA